ACAAGGCAGGACTTCTTCACATAACACACAGTCAACCAGTGGAACTCGTTGCCAGGGGATGTTGTGAAGGCCAAAACTATAACTGAGTTTGAAAAAGAATTGGGTAAGTTCATGGAGGACAGGTCCATCAATGGCTATTAGCCAAGATGCTCAGGGACACAATCCCATGTTCTGGGTGTCCTAAGCCTCTAACTGCCAGAAGTTGGGAGTGGATGACAGGGAAGGGATCACTCAGTAATTGCCCTGTTCATTCCCTCTGAAACATCAGGTGTTGGCCACTGTCGGAAGACAGGATACTGGGCTAGATGGACCATTGGCCTGACCCAGTATGGCCATTCTTATGTATTTATCTGTCTGTATCCATGTCATCATTTGTCTTATACATAGATTGCCAGCTCTTTGGGACAGGGACTCTCTCTTTCCTGGCCCATGACTGGGGCTCCTAGGCACTATGATAATACAAATAATAAATAATATGGGGAGGCCACGGTGCATCCTGGAAATATAATCTGACCATTAAAAAACAAGACAACAATTAATTTGCAGTATAAAGACATTTTTCTTGGAAATTACTTTTTGACCAAAAAAAAATTCAACGTCTTGTAATTACTGACTCTTTTTACAGAGTTGGGGGGGAACTCGAGGACAGGGAGATTAAGGACTGTGTTTGCATGCCCACACTGTGCAAAGAGCTAAGTCCCAGCAGCACCTGCTGATGTCATCCTTTCCCTCTCCCTAGATCTGCAGACCCTGCGCATTCTTTTGGCTGTGTTTGGAAAGGGCTGCCTGGCTGCCTCATTCAACTGTGCCTTCCTCTATACAGGAGAGCTCTACCCCACCGTGATTAGGTATGTAGATGCAAACGCCCATTAAGGAGTCCTACCTGGGCTGCTGGGCTATGTTGCAGTTTTCACCCTGCATGATTAACCTCAAGGAGATGGCAATGACAGGATGACAGCAAGAGCTCTGGTCAGCTGAGCCACTGGGTTTCCTACAGCTGTTAGGAGATGCAAATCCAAACGAATCTATTGGATAAGGCAGACTGAATGAATCAGCATACCTTGTTCTACTGCTTTCTGACAGGACATTGCAGGCAGGCAGGTTAGAGAGTAGATTAGGTATGCAAGTTGTGAATAAACAACATGGAGATTTGTAGCTCAGAAAAGGCAAACCCAGCTGAGGGCCGGTTCCCAGTCCCTGACTGTTCTCTCTCCATGGCAGACAGACCGGAATGGGGTTTGTGAACACCCTGGCTCGGGTGGGCGGCATAGTGGCCCCGCTTGTGCAAATGACCAGTGAGTACTTACCCTCCCTGCCGCTGATCATCTATGGAGCTGCCCCTGTTGTATCCGGCATCGCCACCTGCTTCCTACCTGAGACCCGTAACATGCCGTTGCCAGACACCATAGAAGACATCGAGAGGCAGTGAGTAATTTCTGTGACTATTACGGACAGCTAGTGGAGAGGCTAGGGCAATGGGCTGGGGCTCAGAGACCTGGGTTCTATTTCTATCTCCACCAGCCTGAGCTTAGGCAAGCCCCTTCCCCTCTCTATGCCTGTGTTTCCCCTCCCACCCTTTGTCTATTTAGATTTTAAGCTCTTCAGGGTCTGTCTCTTAGTGTGAGTCTGTGCAGCGCCTGGCACAATGTGGCCCTGACCTCACCGGGGTCTGTGCAGCACCCAGCACAATGAGGCCCTGATCTCAGCGAACATGTGTGTAATTAGGTGCTGTCAGCGGTGGGATTCAGTTTTCAATCGGGTCCTTCAAAAAATGTAAACACCAGCTTAAGCCCCAACCCAGAAACCTGGAAAACTGTATACACCACCCTTGGCACCCTTGATAGGTAATACTTTCCCACTTGCAAGCACTGAGTGTAGGGGTTAATAAAAAAAGCTTTATGAGGATGGGGGAAGGGGGCAACAGAACTAACTTGAGAAAGCCAGCAATTAATTAATCCACACTGTTAGGTAAGACTCTCCCCCTCCCCCGGGTATTTTGGCAGTAATCCCAGCCTCAGGCCTCCTTTCACAGTTGTAAAAAGAAAAGGAGGACTTGTGGCACCTTAGAAACTAACAAATTTATTTGAGCTTAAGCTTTCGTGAGCTACAGCTCACTTCATTGGATGTAAAAGCTTATGCTCAAATAAATTGGTTAGTCTCTAAGGTGCCACAAGTACTCCTTTTCTTTTTGCGAATACAGACTAACATGGCTGCTACTCTGAAACCTTTCACAGTTGTGAGCAGCTCAGACATTCCAGCCACTTCCCTTCTCAGCATCATCACGGTTTGCTGCCCGGGGCTGGTGGAGTCTGGCCATACTGCCTGGGCTGCTCCAGTGGCCTGATTTCAGCTTTGCTTGCTAGGCAGAAAGGTCTGCAGCAGAGTCCCTCCAAGCCCCTCTGACAGGGCAGAGTCCCAAGCCCTGTCAGCACCAACACACTGCCTCAGCTCAGCCCTGGTCTCTGCCTCAAAGGCACCTCAGCTCTACTCCCCACCACTGCACCGTACACCATCTCAAAGCCAGTTTAGTTCAACCCACAGCTAGCAGGAGCCCTTCTCTTTCTTTTCTCATGAGGCTCCCTTACCCAACGGTGCCCGACTGTGGTGTCAGTTAGGGTGACCCCCTCACCCAGCATGTCTGGTGCTGTTCACTTGTCCTTTCATTTCCCAGCAGGGTCAATAGCATTTTATTGCCCCAAAACTCAAAACTTAACTATATTTTAACCAAAATGCCCCAAATTAGCACAAAGAAAAGGAGTACTTGTGGCACCTTAGAGACTAACAAATTTATTTGAGCAGAAGCTTTCGTGAGCTACAGCTCACTTCATCGGATGCATGTAGTGGAAAATACAGTGGGGAGATTTTATATACACAGAGTACATGAAACAATGGGTGTTACCATACACACTGTAACAAGAATGATCAGGTAAGGTGAACTATTACCAGCAGGAGAGCGGGGGAGTGGGGAGGAACCTTTTGTAGTGATAATCAAGGTGGGCCATTTCCAGCAGTTGACAAGAACGTGTGAGGAACAGTGGGGAGGGGCGCAGGGGAGGGGGGGGAATGAACATGGGGAAATAGTTTTACTTTGTGTAATGACCCATCCACTCCCAGTCTTTATTCAAGCCTAAGTTAATTGTATCCAGTTTGCAAATTAATTCCAATTCAGCAGTCTCTCGGAGTCTGTTTTTGAAGTTTTTTTGTTGAAGAATTGCCACTTTTAGGTCTGGAATCGAGTGACCAAGGAGACTGAAGTGTTCTCTGACTGGTTTTTGAATGTTATAATTCTTGACATCTGATTTATGTCCATTTATTTTTTTACGTAGAGACTGTCAAGTTTGGTCAATGTACATGGCAGAGGGGCATTGCTGGCACATGATGGCATATATCACATTGGTAGATGTGCAGGTGAACGAGCCTCTGATCATGTGGCTGATGTGATTAGGCCCTATGATGGTGTCCCCTGAATAGATATGTGGACACAATTGGCAACGGGCTTTGTTGCAAGGATAGGTTCCTGGGTTAGTGTTTTTGTTGTGTGGTGTGTGGTTGCTGGTGAGTATTTGCTTCAGGTTGGGCGGCTGTCTGAAATGAAGCCTGCTCCATTTGGACATTTCTCTTTCCTCATCGACAGATGCTGGCAGAGACCTCCCATCCCATGGTGCCCTGTCCATCTGGAGTTCTTAAGCAGCTCTGGACTACTCTTCTTCCTGTTCACAAACTGTTCACAACAGTCAGCTCCCACCTCCCTAGGGCTTCAGGCCACAAGGATTACATGCATAACACCCTGCACAGGGGGCCCCAATCTCAGCCAGGGTCTGTGCAGTGCCTGGCGCAATGGGGCCCTGATCTCAGTCGGGGACTGTGCAGCTCCTGACACAATAGGGCCCTGATCTCAGTCGGGGTCTATGAAGCACTTGGCATAGTGGGGCCCTCATCTCAGTCGGGATCTGTATAGCACTGTGGGGCCCTGGTCTTGGTTGGTGTCTTCAAGGTGCTACCATAATGCAAAGTATGGGCCATAGGGAAGGAAAGTGACGTGCCCAAAGTCACCCAGTGAGTTAGTGGCAGGGCTGGGATTGCCATCAGTTCTCACTCCCTCATCCTGTTCTTTAGATCAGCGCTTCTCAATGGTTTCTATATCAGGACCCTGCAGCTGGCATCTAGCCAGGACTGGAGCTGGTTGTGAATTTTCCAAATTTTTTTGGTTGGAAGATGCCAATTCGTCAAAACCAAAACTGTTTATGGGAAAATGTCAGTGTTGGTGAATTGAAAAACATTCTTTAAAATAAATTTGTCGACATTTTCAAAACAAAAATAAAGTGGTTTTCTGGTTTGAAATGACTTTCCTCTCAGAAATTTAAGCTAACGGTAAGAAAAACAAATTAAATAAGTAATTTGGTCAAAATCAAAACAAAATGTTTCAAAATTATTGAAATGAAACATTTTAATTGATTCAAAATGATTTTTTTTTCAGTTTTTTGATTTATGACAATTTTTGAGGTTTTGACTTTTCATCCCAATTGGGGACAGGAACATTTTTCAAAACTCAAAAATATTCATAGGACATGACAATCATTCCCCCTGCTCCTGCCCGAGCCAAGAGCCTGACTCCTACATGGGAAGGAGAAGGTGATCTTGACCCTTTGACGCCTGTTCTTTGCTCTCCTGGGGACCACAACTCCAGGACCTCTAGACTGAGTCCATGCTGCATTATGCAGGTTGAGGGGGATAAAAGAGGGATAGTGTAATTCACAGAGCTATTGGGAGGCTTAGCTAATCCCTATTTACAGAGTCATGACTTGTTGTGATGAAAAGATTAAAAGAAATGCAGAATTGTTATATAATCATGTGGTCTCTTCTTATTCCCTTATAGGAGAAGGTCCAGAGTGATTACAGATGTAGGACGGGAAGACAAGGTTCTGCTGAAAGCTTCCAGATTGGAACCACTCAAGGAAATCATTTGAGAGGAGAAACTAAACAGACTCTAGGTCTTGATACCAATTAGTCAGATTAAAATCAAACACGCCCGCATGTTTTACTGGCTCAGGATCAGAGATTGCTTCTGTGCAAGGGGTATTCATGAGATATTATGTCAGCCTTTTGTATCCACTTTCAGAGAAGCTAATAAAGTCAACTGTGCCTCCAAAGGTACAAGCCATGGTTGTCAACATGAGGCGGAGGTGTGAGACTGGACACAGCGTTGGGCGGGGAGACAGACAACCTGGATTCTGATCCTGGCTCAACCATTGACACTGGACTTATGTCTATTGCTCTTCCCACAGCAAAACCAGCGTGAACAAACTGCACTGATCCAGTTGGGTCCCAAATAACTGTGTCTATTTAATAGGGCTAGCCAGAAAACAGGAATTCTGTTTAGCACAATAATTTCAGAGGTTTCATATCAGAACAAAACCAAGACCTTTCAAAACGTTTCATGAAAACAGAGAGCTCCATCCCAGAAGAGCCAATAGCTCAGGCAAAGTAGCAACCTAAACCTTGTTCTTCTGCACCCCAACCAAGTTCCCTAACAACCAGGATAGCAAGTCAGCCCTTCTCACTCTCTGCAGGGACTTGAACCTGATTCTTCATCACAGGTGAGTACTCTGGCCACCAGGCTTTTCAGGGGTGGGCCTCGCTCACGCTATCATTTTGATCAGAAATTCCATCCTGGACCTGAGAAACCCTCCCGACAAAACTTTGGTTGAAACCAAAAAGTTTCGGTTTTGACCAATTGGCAACTTCCCACAGAAAATTCTAACCCAGCTCTTCTATTTAGTACATTTAGCCATTCGAAGCCTATCTACATAGACACCATTGCTCTGAGTGGCTTTGAAAACACAGAACACAGCAAAAGCCTTTAGAGGGACCACAGACTAGTTAATTCTGCCGTATTCCTGTACTATACTCTGCAAGTCACTTCCCCACTCCATGCCTCAGTTTCCCCTCCCACACCTGGTCTATTTAGATTACAAGATTTTCAGGGCAGGGACAGCACCCTACATAGTGGGATCGTGACTTCTTATTGCTCCTGCAATATGCATAAAAACATACATGTTTAGAGGAGGTTCCGCACAAAGGGGTTCTGAGTATGGTAGAAACATGGTTACAGTCCAGGGCCGTGCTGCCATGCAATGAGAGAGTTTATCATTCAGTAGTTCATGTATCTCCCAGACTCTAGCTTCCCAGGCTGACAATTTGCATCAGACCCATAGGGGAAGAACAAATGCGGGTCCAAAAAGGAAGTGTTTAACCCAGTCCACAATCAAGCCACACCCACAAATAAGCCCCACCCTCTTGAGATACACATGTCACTCAAAGTCAAGGTGACCATGTTTTCAATACCTCCAGCCAGGGCTTTTGTATGGCGATGTTGTATTAGGGTCATACGTGAGACAAAGTTATTCATGTTACAGGAGAGCTCAAAGGCCCTAACAAGAAGAAGGGCCCCATTGGTTAGGCACTGCACATACACGTAGCTAGGGCCAGCCTTTGCCCCAGAGAGCTCACCATCTGAACAGACAAAGGGTGGGAGAGGAAACAAAGATACAAAAAGAGGAAGTGATTCACCCAAGGTCACTCACCAGGCCAATGGCAGAGCTGGGACTACAACCCAGGTGAGTGTCGTATTCACAAGACCATGTTGCTTCTAAAAAATGCCCAGTGCTGGCATCATTGCTAGAGTGGGTCAGAAATGGGGGTGGTTCCAGAGGGAAATTTTGACATTTGGCGGAAAAGCGGGGATTCGAACCCACAACTCCCAAACCCCTGGTTTATGGCCTGACCAGGGGAACATCACAATCACTTTACTCACATGTCAACTGTATCCCAAACGCTTGTCCCACTGCACTATTAGTATCATAACAACGTGAGGCCCCAGTCAGAGATCAGGGCCCCACTGCAGTAGAGATGTGGAATAAATGAGGACATTCCTTGCTACAGAGAACTCACAGTCTTAGCATAGGACAAGAAACAACAACTGCTTCCCCCAAGGAACGGGCTACAGGGCAGGAAAAATGGTGGATGTTTCAGTTACAGCTCTGGATTGGGACCTTTTGGGGAGTCAATTCCCGCCTCCCCGGAGACGCTGTGTGTGACCTCAGACAAGTCGCAGAGGGTAGCAAAAGCTCGTAAGTTGCATAGGAAGGAAGTCCCGTTTTCAGAAGTGACTCAAAGACTTAGGAACCTGAGCCCCCGTGACTTTCATAGAAACTTGAGCTCTTGAGTGCCTAACTCCCTTTTGAAAATGAGACTAAATGATTTAAGTCACTTGAAATGCTGAGTGGAGCAACTCTGAGATACCTTTAAGACTCTGGGCTTTAGTTCCCCAGTTTCTCCATCTGTAAAAGAGTGCTAATAAACCTTCCTTTGACTATTTGCATCGCGAGCTCTTCAGACCAAGGGCTGTCTCTTACCAAGTGTGCCCGGCACAATGGGACCCTGATCTCAGTCAGGGTCTGTGCAGCACCCAGCATGACAGGGCCTGCATCTCAGATAGTATCAGCTGGTTTCTGGCAGCATCTGGCATAACAAGGCTTTGATCTTGGTCAGGGTCTGTGCAGCACCTGGCACAATGGGGTCTTTAGGCACTGCTGCACTACAAATCATAAGTACACAAGGAGAAGGTAAGAGTAAGACAATCACGCTTAGGAAAAAACACTGCATTCACAGCACACCAATTCCCTAGCAATTGCTCCAATGGCTCAGGGTGAATTTTGTCCCAGATACTAACATCTCTTGTGAATAACTGACTACATCAAAGGACATCTACTTGCTGGACTGCCTTTCACACTCACCTGATGCTGTTACCCAGAACTATTGCTATTACTCTCAAGTACTGTGTGTATTACGGTAGTACCTAGAAGACACAACCAAGATCAGGATTGCAACATTATTTATTATTTGTATTTATTTCTATTGTGGTAGGGCCAAGGAGCACCAGCAAAGGACCAGGAGCCCATTGTGTTATGCATTAGACCAGTGGTTTTCAAACTGCGGGTCGTGACCCAGTACTGGGTCGCGGAACGTAAGGCAGCGGATCACAGCGGCTCTGGTCAGCACCGCCGACTGGGCAATTAAAAGTCCCGTCAGCGGTACTGCCCGGCTATCTGTTCTGACACTGCACTGTGTTCCGGAAGCAGCCAGCAGCAGGTCTGGCTCCTAGGCGGCGGGGCGGCCACGGGACTCCGCGCGCTGCCCCCTCCCCAAGCACGGGCTCCACACTCTCATTGGCCAAAAACCGGCCAATGGGAGCTGGGGGGATGGTGCCTGTGGGCAAGAGCCATGCGGAGCTGCTTGCGCACCTCTGCCTAGAAGCTGGACCTGCTGCTGGCCACTTCCGGGGCACAGTGCATTCCGCGGTGCCAGGACAGGCAGGAAGCCTGCCTTAGCACCCCCACTGAACCGCTGACCAGGAGCCGCCCAAGGTAACCCTGCGCCCCAATCTCCTGCCCCAGCCCTGAGCCCCCCCAAACCCGGAGCCCCTTCCTGCATCCCAAACCCCTCATCCCTGGCCCCAGCCCAGAACCCTGACCCCCTCCTGCACCCCAACCCCCTACCCCAGCCCAGAGCCCCCTCCCACACCCTGAACCCCTCATTCCCAGCCCCACCCACAGCCCTTACCCCCACACCCCAACCCTCTGCCCCAGCCCTGAGCCCCTCCCATACCCCAAACCCCTGATCCCCAACTCTGTTGGGTCACGAGCATCAACAATTTTCTTCAATTGGGTCTCCAGAAAAAAAGTTTGAAAACCATTGCATTAGACAAACACAGAACAAAGAGGTGGTTCCTGCTCCAAAGAGCTTCCAATCTAAGAGCAGACAAACAATGAGGGAACCCTGTCCCAGTTTAAATAGACAATGAAAAGAAGTGAATTGCCCAGCAGCAGAACCAGGGATAGAAGCCAGGTCTGCTTTCCCTAAGCCAGTGCTCCAGGCTCTTCCTTAACCTTTCCCCCCAGCCATTCTCTTTGTCCTCTCCTCTCTCCCATGGATTTATGCTCTGTTTCTGCCCTGTCTTTATCCAGCAATTTGCCTCCACATGGACCCCAGCACTCCTCCATCACCAGCCAGCTTTGATGAAGTGCATATGGAGTTAGAGCCTCAGCTGATGTAAACTGGCATAACTCAATTGTCTTCAGTGGAACCAAGTTGATTTACTGCAGCTCAGGATTTGGTCCTATGAGTCATCTTTTCAGCACCCAGCACAATAGGCCCCTGCACTTATTCGGGATCTGTACAGCATCTAGCACATTGCACCCTGATCTAGATCAGTGTCTTTGCAGCACCCAGCACACGGGGACCTAGATCTAAATTGGGGTCTGTGCAGCCCGCAGCACAATGGGGGCCCTGATCTCAGTCGGGGGCTGTGCAGTGCCTGATATAATGGAACAATAGTCTTAGTTGGAGCCTCTAATAGTAATGCCAATAATAATCAACCAGTGCAAAGCAGGCTCGGTGCCCTTGTGTACTGGAGGCCTAATGCCTTCCTAACACGGCCCTTTGTCCCACATTTACTGGATCAGTAGATTTTGTCTCCCTTTCCCTTCAAGCTAATCCTTCAAACCCAGGGTAGAATTTTAACCCAAGTAAGATGATTACGGTTTACATAACCCACACACGCACCCTTTTAACCCAATCAGTTTCCTAAGGCTAAATATATATATATATTACTCCCCCCATCCCCCTGCCCCCATTACCACCACTACACACGCACAGTTTCCAGCATCCCAGAATCAAACAGTCCAACTGAGGTGATCCAAGTTCACACCACAGGTTGCTCAGATTTTCTTCCAACAGACTGGTATCCCTGCTGAGACCCCCACTCTTTGGGTGGATGCCAGATTGATAGCGGTTTCAAAGTTGTAGGCAAAAATTTAAAGGGAACTTTCTTCTGAGACAATGAGACTAAACTTTCCCATGCAGCCGTCCAAGTTTTGCTTTTCTCCTGTAGGAAGCGCCTGGCTGTAGCTGTCGTGCTTTGACAGATCTCTAAGAGAGCAGGAACTTTTGTAGGAGGTACTCTTTCCAAATGCAGCTCTGTTTGTGAAATTCATTTAAGTCCTCAGGAAGTGAGTTAACGGTGGATCTGTTCGGCATGACTTTTGCCGAACTCCTAGACAGCATTGGCGGCATGGGCCGTTTTCAAATCATCCATGTCGCTTTACTTGTTATCCCTGTTTTAATGACAGCCTCTCATAACCTCCTGCAGAATTTTTCTGCTGCTGTTCCAGGACACCACTGCCAGATTCGTGTAGCTGCCAACAGCACGGGTGGTACAAACATGACTCAAAGACTGAGCACCAAAGATCTCTTGAGGGTCTCCATCCCGATGGATGGGGAATGGGAGCCGGAGAAGTGTCGCCAGTTCGTCACCGCCCAGTGGCAGCTCCTAAATCCCAACGCCACCCTCGCAAATGGGACAGAGATGGAAACAGAGCCATGCACGGATGGGTGGACCTACGACAAGAGCATCTTCACCAACACCATCATTATGGAGGTAAGGAAGGGCCTAAAGCACTCACCGTTGCTCAGAGAAACCTTGCATTGCTTGGGTGTTATTGATCAATATTTACATCTGACTGCACAGGAGCAGGAGAAAGTGTGGTCCAGCCAGTGAACTGTGACTTGGGTTCAGTTCCTGTCTCTGAACCATTCCTACTCTGTGACCTTATGCAAATTATGGGATTTGCCCAGCTGGATCATTCCCAAGGTCCATTCAGCCCAGTCTCCAGTCTTGGACAATGGCCAGCACCAGATGCTTCAGAGACAGGTTTAAGAACCCTGCAGTAACCCATGTGAGATACCCTGTCCCATACATAGCCCTCATCCTGATCTTTAGTAGTTGGAGATTGGCTCAAGCCTAAAGTACCAGGTTTAATATCCCTCCCAGAAGCCTTGTTGTTGCTGTTATGATTACTCTGGATGGTTTTGATATCCCTATAAATATCTAATCCCCCTTTCAATTTTGTTAACTTCTTCCCCTCAATGACTTCATGTGGCAGTGAGTTCCACAGGCTAATCCCACATCATGTGAAAAAGTGTATTTCCTCTCATCGGTTTTGAACTCCCATCTTTTAATTGCACTGAACATCCCCTTGTTATGAGACAGGAAGAACAGATGCTCCTGATCTGCTGCCTCTCTCCCACTTGTTGTTTTATAGACTTTTATCCTGTCCCCTCTAGTTCATCTCCTTTGCAAGGTAAATGATCCCAGTCCTTTCAATCTCTCTCCACAAGAGAGTTTCTCAGGCTCTTGGTCATTCTTGTTGCCCTTTTAGTTCTGCAATATCCTTTGTGAGATGGGGTGACTAGGTCTGCACCCAGCAATCTCGTCATCTCTCTGTCCCTCACATTCCCATATAAGTAAAACATGGATAATTCTTCCTTTCTCCCACCTGTGTCTATTTGGAATGTAAACCCTTAAGGGTGGGGGGTATCTTTTACTGCGTTTGCATGTTGCTGGAGCTTCTACCTGCTACTAGAACAGAAAATAATAATGTCATATATGATGAGACACTGTAGGTCTCCATGCCGTCTCTGCTCCTATTATTTACTGACAATTTGTCCTGGGAAGGAACATTCAGATTGTAAAAGGGGATTCTGGTAACTGTTTGCCAGATGGTAAGAGATGGCTGTAGCTGGATATAATAAAACTCAGCCCTTCCCATGATTCAAAGAGCTTTACAAACTTGCTATGAGCTAAGTGTGTAGTAGTACCATTATCTCAATTTTACAGATGGGGAAACTGAGGCACAGGGAGGTGAAGTGACTTGCCCAATGTCACAGTTGTGTCAACCATAGAGCTGGCTACAGAACCCAGGAGTCCTAGGCTTACAGTCCTGCTCCTGTAACCCCTAGAATCACACAAGCTGTCATAGAACCCAGGAATCCCAGTCTTAGTGCTCCAAGAACTAGAACACTCTCCTTCCAAGCGCCAGGAGCAGAACCCAGAAAACCTGATGCCCATTCTCTGTTTTAACCACTAGACCCCATTCCCCTCCCACAGCTATGGATAGAACCCAGCAATCCTGACTCCCAGCCCCCTGCTCTATCCTACTAGACCCCACTCCTCCACAAGAGCTGGGACTAAAACCCAGGAGTCCTTATGCCCAGTCCCTGCTTTAACCAATACACATAATTCCACATCTTGGAATTATGACCCTCAGTGCTCTGCACTAACCACTAGGCCACACCATGCAGCTGCAGAATAGTAAATACCCAATACTGAGATGGTGATTTATTCAAATATCCACCAGTAGTTATATCACTCACACATGTGACCTCATACAAGTTGTGAGCCACCCCCTTAACAAATCCACTGACACAGCAAAGTACTGTTTGCTTGTTTAACCAATGCTGAGCTGCAGGACTGCACACAGAGAAAGTTCCCTGCCCTTGACAATTCTCAGATTGTTGGTTAGTTAAATATTTACTTGCAATTTAAAAAAAATATGAATACAAAGCAGGGATTAATTTTATTTGAAATGTAACCTTATTTACCAAATGCAAATGGCCAAATCCTGGTGCCAATAAAATCATTATTTTTATTAAAATATCTGTAGTGCCTAGAGACCCCAACTAAGATCAGGGCCCCTATTGTGCCAGGCGCTTCACAGACCATGACTGAGTTCAGGGCCCCCTTGTGCCAGGTACTGCACAGACCCTGACTGAGATGGGAGCCCCCATTGTGCCAGGCAACGCACAGACACACAGAGAGAAACAGTCCCTGCCCTGAAGAGCCAACAATCTAAAAGACAATGGGTGGGAGGGGAAACAACTTACTCAAGATCACACAGCAGGAGAGCCCACACCCGAACCCAGCTCTCCTGAGTCCCAGACCAGCACATTATCACTAGGCCACCTTTCCTCTGCTTCAAGGGTTTCTGGTGCTCAAAGCTATTGGTGGGGCTGCCGGAGCACAGGCAACAGCTCTCATAGCCCCTGGCTCTATGCCTCCTCCCTTTGCCACCTGCAGTCCTGCAGCCTGAGACAGTCCACCTCCCACTGGTAGCAAGCAGTACTGCACCCTGAAGTCCGTCGACTGCCTAATACAATCATTACATAACTGCTGGGGATAATTCCCCTGAGCCCCTAGTGATCAGCCACCCCAGCTCTCCATTATACCTTTGTCTGCTAAATTAAATACTCCCCCCATCCATAGCATTGGCTGTTTTCTCCTTGCGTGGGTATGAGCAGCTTGTTATGACAATGTCTTGACCACCTTTCCTCCTCCGCCTGCAGTGGGACCTGGTGTGTAACCTGCGGACACTCGGACAGATGGCTCAGTCAATCTACATGGCTGGGGTGCTGGTGGGAGCGCTTCTGTTTGGAAGCTTAGCGGACAGGTGGGTCTTTGCAAGGCTCTTCCTTCTCCCCGCTCTGAGAGCAGCTGCAGGGGCACAGAAAGCAGCAGCCATGGGGTGAATGGTATCTGCTGGGGCTGAGACAAAAGTTCAGGCAATGCACTGAATGTTTAAATTTTGACTTCAGAGATGAGGGATGTGGAGGTTGGTGTAGAATAATCCCAGAGTCTAATAGCCTTGTATGTCCAGATGCATAGCTGGTGTAAATCAGCATCACTCCCCTGGAGTCAGTGGGGCCAGATCCCTAGCTGGTGTAAATCAGCACCACTCATTGGTGCCAATAAGCATTTTTCTATTGTATTCAACGACCATTGGATGAGGCCCATTTATACTAGCTGAGGATCTGACCCATGGCCTGGCAGTTGCTACATTTTCCTTTGGTTATGTTCATCCTCTTCCTTCCAGCTGCATTCCCTCTCCTTGCCTGATCATGCGCCCATTGAAGTCAAAGGCACGACTCCCATTGATTTCAATGCTGCAGTAGCCCTTGGAAAGTAACTCCTCTCAGTGCTTGAGGTTTACCCTTTCCCTTACACTTGAGATGCTGATCCACGTCCCCTTGTAGTCATTGCTTAGCTGCATTTAACTCATTTACAGCCTTGCCTTGTGGGTCAGTCCCTCCAGAGCCCTGGCCATTTGTGCTTGCTCTCCCCTGAACACCTTACAGGCTATGTCAGAACACACAGAGATTAGATTAGATAAAATAGATCATCCACGTCCATGTGCCCAGGACTGAATGCAGATTGCCAGGTGCAGAGCATTGGTGCTGTCCCCACCTATCCTCAGGGCTCTGTGGCTCTGCATACACAGGATTCTATCAGTCACCAGACCTAGCACAGCTATGAACATGCCGTCTTCTGCCACAGGTTCGGGCGGAAGGCTCTCCTGAGCTGGTCTTACCTGCAGATGGCTGTCTCGGGCACCTGTACCGCCTTCTCGCCCAATTTCACCGCATACTGCATCTTCCGCTTCCTTGTCGGGATGGCCCTTTCTGGGATCATTCTCAACTGTATGTCACTGGGTAAGGGACCTTCTTCCACTGCTCCTTGGTTTTAACCTGGGAAAATTAGCCCTTGTTATAACTACCTGCCTTACAGTTGCTCCTAGGAGACCCCAACACAGCATGCACATTATTTCTGGTATTACAGTAGCACCTAGAAGCCCCATTCTGGTGTGTGCATAATTAATAGTATTACAGTAGCACCTTGATGACCCAGTATAGTGTGCATATTAGTAATATTACAGTAGCACCTGCAGGCCCTTACGGAGATCAGGGCCACTTTACATTGGACAGGTTATTAGTAGTATTACAGTAGCACCCAGGGGCACTAAGTAAAATCAGGGGTTCATTACAGTGTGTGCAGTATTAATATTACAGAAGCATCTAGAAGCCCTGAGATCTGGTCCCCATTGCGTGAGGCACTGGATATCTACCTCCCTCTTGGTGTCTGCTGTGCAGAGGATATAACTGCTCCAGCCACAGAGCCCTGCTTAACAAACAGCCACCATCTTAGTGACTTGGGGCTGGGAACTGACCCAGAGAACCTCCAAGCGAATGAGTTCTTTAGCTCAGCCTATAGAGACCCATGCACACAGCTCTAGGTGACGTGCACACAGTGAGACTGTCCTGGCCCCAAAGAGCTTATAATAGACAAAGGAAGAATTATTGTCCCCATTTTATGGACTGAGGCTCAGCAGGGTTTGATTTTCCCACCATCACACAGGGAGCATGTGCCAGAGCCAGGAACTGAACCCAGCTCACTTGAGTCCCCCTGAGAGGCCAACCTACCTCTCAAGCCCCGGCAGCCCTCATTAACTGGGAGAGCTGTGAAGCTGCTGTCCCACTTTTCATGGCCCAGCCCAGCCAGAAGACAAGACACAGGTCCCTGGTATGCAGTGTGAATGATCTAACAATCCCCCACTTTTCGTTTAGCGCCCGAGCTATCAGTGGCCATGCAGAGTAGGGGCTGCACAAACACAGAACAATAGATGGCTCCTAAGTAACGTACTTTTTTTCATTTGGGATTCTCAGTGTCCTTGTTTTCCAGAAAAATGCCCAGATTCCTCTTTTGAACGCTGCTAAGGTCTCAGCCTCAAGGTAGTCTTATGACAGTGAGTTACGCAGGCTAATGGTCCATTGTTAGACAGGACTCCCAGCATTGCTTTGCAGCCATCCCTTCCCTCCAATGTCTGCTTTTCGTTTTTGGATGCTGTTTTCCTGCTCTTGTTAGTTTTGATCTGGCCCCGGTATACAAATATTTATCCCTGTGTTTGCACGCATCACTTCTGCTTATATGCAGCCTGAGTCAGGAGGGTGTCTCAGAGGGAGTCCAGCATGGTAGCATCACTGGATTACAATAATAATACTTTGCAATTAAGGACATGTTAAAAAAAAGTTTGTTTTGGAATTGTGGGTGAGGGTTTGAGACAGTCCTTTCTAATATTAACGGTGCTAAAACAGTAATTGTTACAGTAGCACCTCGAAGTTCTGACTGAAACTGGGGCCCCCATTCTGCCAGGCACTAAACAGACCCCAAGATCAGGGCCCCCATTGTGCTGGGTGCTGACAGATCCTGACTGAGATTGGGGCCTGCATTGTGCCTGGTGCTGCACAGACCCCAGTCAAGATCAGGGCATCCATTGTGCTGAGCCCAGTCCATTCACATAGTGAGCAACAGTTCCTGTCTTGAAGAGCTTTAAAATACACAAAGGGTGAGAAGGTGGAGTGCGAGACAAAGGGTGGTGAACTGAGATCACTGCCTACTGTGGTGACCAGTCTCATTGTTTCTTGGTGTTCCCCCCATCTGTTTTTCTGCATCCTTCTGTTGCCTCGTGTCTTATATTTTAAACTCATCTCTTTGTTCTGGATGTATACAGCACCTAGCACAATGGGGTTCTGGTGCATGATTCCTAAGGCTATGTTTACACTGGCAACTGAACGACAAAACTTTTGTCTTTCAGAGGTGTTACCCCCTCTTCTCCCTGGAAAGACAAGTTTTGCCGCAACAAGCATCAGTGTGAACAGCACATTGTTGGCAGGAACACTGTCCTGACGACAACACAAACGCCACTCTTTGGGGATAGAAGTTTTTTATCGGCAAGAGAGCCGACAAACAGCAGCTACACTGAGCAACTTTTAGCAGCATGGCTGTGGTGACACAGCCATGTCGCTTAAAGCTGTGTAGTGTAGACATAACCTAAGCACTACTAAAATACAAATAAGGAATAGAGGAAACAGAAAGTGTCTTGCCCAAGTTCATGGAGAAATTCTGTGGCAGATCCAGGAATGGAACACCAGTGCCTTAAATACCCGTCTAGTACCTTAACCACTGGCCACCCCTGCCTCACATTCATAGCTCAGCATCATTTTAACCCTGAAGGACAGCAAAGCCCCTCACCGATTAGGTGGCACCACTGAGATCTTAATCCATGCCCACAGAAACATTCCCACATGCCTCCAAAACCTGTTCACTTGTGCAGAATATTAACTAGAGATGTAGGAATAATTGATTGTTTGGTTCAGTGGCTGAACCAAAAAAATGTGTTTACATTGTTTCAGGGTGATACAAAATAGAAATTTTTCTGTTTTTCTCACCAAAATGAAAAACAAAAATTCATTTTGGATCAAATGAAATGCTGTGTTCAACTGAAAACAAATCTTTTTGGGAGGTGGGAGCTCTTTGGTTTTTCATTTTCTGCATTTCTGGATTTTTATTACACACGTTGTGGCTTTTTAAAAATAAATCTAGCTAAATTTCTAAACAAAACATTGTTTTAAAACAAAGAGTTGAAACAAAACATTTTGAGTATCGGGGGTAGCTGTGTTAGTCTGTATACACAAAAACAACAAGGAGTCTGGTAGCACCTTAAAGACTAACAGATTTATTTGAGCACAAGCTTTCGTGGAGTACAATCCCTCAGAGAGAGACAAACACCTACAAGATCTTTATCAAGCATTCTTAAAACTACAGTACCCACCTGGGGAAGTGAGGAAACAGACTGACAGATTGAGACGGGTACCCAGAAATTACCTACTACAGGACAGGCCCAACAAGGAAAATGACAGAACACCACTGGCCATCACGTACAGCCCCCAGCTAAAACCTCTCCAGCACATTATCAATGATCTACAACCTATCCTGGAAAATGATCCCTCCCTCTCCCAGACCTTGTGAGGCAGGCCAGTCCTCGCTTACAGACAGCCCCCCAACCTGAATACTCACCCAAATACTCACCAGCAACTACACACCACACCACAGAAACACTAACGCAGGAACCAATCCCTGTAGCAAACCTCGTTGCCTACTCTGTCCCCATATCTACTCTAGCGACACCATCAGAGGACCCAACCACATCAGCCACACCATCAGAGGCTCATTCACCTGCACGTCTACTAATGTGATATATGCCATCATGTGCCAGCAATGCCCCTCTGCCGTGTACATTGGCCAAACCGGACAGTCCCTATGTAAAAGAATAAATGGACACAAATCAGACATCAGGAATGGTAACATACAAAAGCCAGTGGGAGAACACTTCAATCTTCCTGGACATTCTATAACAGATTTGAAAGTAGCTATACTTGAACAAAAAAACTTCAGAAACAGACTTCAAAGAGAAACAGCAAAACTACAATTCATTTGCAAATTTAACACCATTAATTTAGGCTTGGATAGGGACTGGGAGTGGCTGGCTTGTATAAAATCAGCTTTGCCTCTCCTGGAATTGACACCTCCTTATCTATTATTAGGAGTGGACTACTTCCATCCTAATCGAATTGGCCCTGTCAACACTGGTTCTCTACTTGTGAGGTAACTCCCTTCCCTTCATGTGTCATTATATAATGCCTGCATCTGTAATTTTCACTCCATGCATCTGAAGAAATGGGGTTTTACCCACGAAAGCTTATGCCCAAATAAATCCGTTAGGCTTTAAAACATTTTGACCTTTTCAGAAAAAAATATATTTGGCAGGGCGGGGCAGGGCGCAAAGCTATTTGCTGAACCCAAACTGAATTTGCAAATAGTCAACCTGAACCTGCATTTTTCAGCAAATAAACTATGTGTCCAAAACATTTCGCCCAGCTCTAGTATTAACCCCTCTGGCGTGGGTGCCTTCCTTTCCAGTTGTTGAGTGGGTGCCAACCAATGTACGGACCATAGCCGGCACAGTGGTGGGATACTGCGCCACCATCGGGCAGATTGTTCTTGCAGGCTTGGCATATGCCCTCCCGGACTGGCGCTGGTTACAATTCACTGCATCAATGCCCTTCTTCATCTTTTTTCTCTATTCCTGGTAAGTGCATCGCTGCTTGTTGATAGGTTCACAGGGCTAGATTCTGATCTCACTCTTAGACACAGGGCTCAAGCATGGGGCTGCAGGAAGCATACACTGACAGTCCGATACTCATTGGGCTGAGCTGAAATAAGCTCCACTTCAGTCTGTATTCCCATCTGATTTAACTGTGATCTGTTACACAGCCTAGTGCCCCCATTACCAAGGTCTGTGACTGTCTTTGGATCCAAGGCAGTCATTTGTACCTGTCAGTGCAGAAAATGCATATGTTCAAGGGCTAGTACTGTAGAGGCTCAAACTCATCTGGGAGCTTTAGGTCCAACTATAATGGAAACAACAACAACTTGGTGGAGTTCCTCTGTGTTTGCAATGTATAACTTCTCCTCAGAATCTGCCCTACAAGCTCTTAGCTCTACCCAGGTTTGAGTGTCCCTAATTCCCATGAGCCACAAATTCCTACAAAGAGAACCCAACTGGAAAGAAGAAAGCACTCCATTGTTTCTTGGCATTGCTGCTCATTTTGCAGGTGGTTTGCAGAGTCCGCTCGCTGGCTGGTTCTATCAGGAAAACCGGACCGAGCCGTGCAGGTGCTTAAGAAAGTTGCTCAGATAAATAGAAAAAAAGAAGAAGGAGACAAGCTCAATACCGAGGTAAAGAGATTAATGGAATTCTTGACCATCAAAGGAAACCACAGATAATCATATCTTATGTGCAATAAGGATGGAACCCCTGAGGACGTGTAGAAGGAACACTTAAGTGATGTGTAGGCTTTCAGCTGGCCCTCTGAACTGCATGATGCACTAGGGTCAGAAGTGCCCAGGATACACCACCTCATCTCTCCAAGATGGTGCATCATGGGATATATAGTCTAACCAGGGATCCTGGCCTGTGGAGGAGAATGGGAGATGAGACACCTGAATTACAAGTCCCATGAGGCACCATGGCAGCATTCCCAAACAGAAATATTTCCATTTCTAGTTGGTTTCAGTATTTGAATTTTCACTGAAAATTTGAAATTTTCCATCGGAAAAAACTCCCACATTTTCTGTCCAGATCTATTCATGCATTATTGCATGATACTCGTGCATTTAGCAATAAAACTGGTCAGCAATTTTTCAACTAAACTTATTTTTGTTGGAAAATCAACAAATTTCTCATTTTGAAAAGTTTTTGGAAAAAAGTTTCAAAATTCCCATTTCAAACATTTTTTAAAAGAAAAATTCAATATTTTCAGTTTCAAAATTTTTGCTAATTATAGTTTAAAAATTTAAATAGAAAAAAATGTCAAAATTGAAATAAAACATTTTGAAAATGTCAAAACAATGTTTCAATTGACTCAAACTGAAATTTTTTTCATACTGTTAATTTGTGCAAATTTTCGAGGCTGTCTTCTCATATTGATTTGGGATCAGAAAAATTTGAGATCTCCAAAATTTTCCTGGGATGGGAAAACTGTTTCCAACCCAGCTCTTTGGCAGCTTTCTCATGCACGCCATTGGCTCAGGTGAAATCTTACCTAGTAGAGAGAGAGTGAACAAGACTATCCGTCTTGAAATTTGTCCCAAGAGGAGGTGCATGGGGCTGGGCTCCAGAAGTCCATGGGGATAAACGTCACCCTGGCATTTAAATAACATGTATAAAATTTCAGTGTGGAGTTGCACAACATTTGACGGCTATGCACAGATTATATTAAAGTTAAATTCACCCCTGAGTTAGCACAAGATCTGTGCAGCACTTAAATCCCATCTAAACTATGTTTTTAAGGACTTAAATGTAACTACTGGTACATAGGTTTTGTGCTGCCCAGGAACAAATTTCACCTTGGGAGGAGTGTTGGAGATTCTGCAATACACTGTGGCCCAGATGATGTTTTTGTTTACCTGCTGTAAATCCAGAGTCAAAGGAGTTATTCCAAATTCACACTGGTGCAACTGAGAGCAGAATACACCTCTCAAACTTTGTCATCCAATCCATTTAGGCTTTGGCAGCCAGATCCTCAGCTAGTGTAAATCAGTATAGTTAATGGATCTATGTCAATTTATATCAGCTGAGGAGCTGGTCCATGGACGCATAGATTTTAAGGTCATTAGACCATTAGTTTGACCTCCTGCATAACACAGGCCATAGAATTTCACCCAGTTATTACTGTATTGAGCCCAGTAACTTGTGTTTGACAAAAGCATCTTCAAGGAAGGCAGCCAATCTGGATTTAATGACATCAAGAAATAGGGAATGCACCACTTCTCTTGAGAGTTTGTTTCAATGATTAGTCACCTTCCCTGTTAAAAATTTGTGCTTTATTTCTAATTTGAATTTGTCTGACTTCAGTTTCCAGCCATTGTTTCTTGGTCTGCCTTTCACTTTCTTGAGAGTCCTTTAATACTTGATATTTTCTTCCCAGGAAGGTACTTATACACTGTAATCAAGTCACCTCTTGATCTTCCTTCTGATAAAATAAACAGATTGAGCTCTGTCAGTCGTTCACTCTAAGGCATTCTTTCCAGCCCTCAAATCATCAATCATAGATTTTAAGGCCAAAACAAGAGACCACCAGATCATCTAGCTAGACATTGAGCCCCTCTAGCCACATTCAAATACAAGCTCTCAATGTCATCTGAATAACCACACTTACTGATCTGGTATGTTTGCTGACATTAATTTAATATATGGATGATATAAATCTAGCATGCTTCCAATGATGCTTAAATTCTGGCCCTAGTCCAGGGATCAAAATCAGATTACAAATTTGTTCGCCTTTTGTGCCTGAATTCTGATTTCTAATTCATTCCAAAGTACAAGTGGCTGTTGTTTTTCCAACCTGAAAATCATTGTCATTAATACGCCCTGTAAAGTCCCATGATTCTGACCTACAGAAAGAAGCAGTTTCATTTGCAAAAGTAAACCTATTAAGCTGTGCAGAAACATATGACTGTAAGGTCTTAGCACTAATAAGAATTCTGATCCTCACGCCAATGGACTGAACTAAGATTAATAATTCCTGCCCTTTCATGATCTCAACTGCTTGTTTCTCAAAGATAAACAGAATCCCTGCATGATTCTGTGGCATTCTAAGACAATGGTTAACTCAGGGACACAAATGCCTTTGGGTACAAACTATGCTACTTGTATGTCACAACAGATTGCAGAGTGTTTCAATACTAACAGTTCTACTACGTTAAGACAATGGCTTACGAGGTTGGGGACTGAGTAGGGGGCACTCTCTCCTTGGAATCCATGCTAGCCCTGATGCCCCAGTGCAATGCTAGGGAACACTGTGTTACAGGGAGTAGGATGGGGGGGCCCAGCAGGAGGTGCTGTCCCCTCACAGTCAATGCTGACCCCAATGACCCACCATGATTCACTGGAGGTGGAAATATGTGGTCAGTTAAGGTCCCAGGGCCCTTTTCCCAATGGGGTTAGTTACCCCGGGGATAAAGCTGCCCTCACTATTGTGTAAGGGTAAAAAGAGGGACTTCGGTGGTGTCTAGGCTAGAGCACAAGGGAGAATTTCACCTTTAACATTTCAGTCCAAACTATCAGAGGACTAATACCCCAGGAAAACCTACCAAAGTCAAATTATCTTCATCTTCTGTCCTAAGGTTGAGTCGCATTATTATGAGCTGTTAAACAGCTTCTGCTTTCCAACCCAGAGCATTTCAGTGGTGGATGAAGTGATCCGATCTATCTGCATACATACCCCTCTGTCTGTATCTATCTATGTTCATATATAACTGGATGAACATATTTAAAAAAATCTGGAAAGTCTCTGTGTTCTGCATTTCTCTTGAGTCCATCTTCGGATCACTTCAGTGTTGTGCCAGTTCCTGTAGCCGAGCGATAGCCCTCGGATGGTCACTAGAGGGGGATGCAGGATTGGTTGTATGTTTTCTTCTGTGCTGAGCTTACCCACATTCCTGGTCTGCTTTTGTTTCCTCTAAATGGAATGGTGCAAACATTGTAAAACAGCTCCTGGGCCTTGGGGAGTGATGGTCACAGGAATTGCCTGACTGGATTAGACCAGTGATCTGTGTAACCCAGTATCCTGTCTCTGATAGTAGCTAGCATGGAGTCCCATTCCAGGCTCTGGGAGAAGAGCAGGGCCTAGTGGTTAGAGCTGGAGGAGGCTGGGAAGCAGAATTCCTGGGTTCCATTCCCAACTTTGGGAGGGGAGTGATGCCTACTGGTTAGAGCTAGGAACTGGGATTCAGTACTTTTGGGTTCTCATCCTATCTCAAACCTGGCAGACTACTCTTTATCCTATCCATTATTTTGTGGCCCTTTATCAGGTCCCCTCTTGCTGTGCTAAACATTCCCAATCCTTTCAGTCTCATGGGAGTCTCTCCAGAGCTCTAATCATTCGCATTGCACATCTTTGCCTCCCCTCACCACATATTTCTGCTACATGCTATGGGCCAGATCCTCAGCTTCATTGTCAACTGACTTCAATCGCGCAACAGCTGGTTTATACCAGCTGGGGATCTGGCCCCATTTTCTCCAATGGAGCGTATCAGATGTGCTGAGCACAATGAGGAGGATGCAGCAGGATAATACACCAGAATTATTTTTCCTAATCTCTCTTCTCCCTAGGTCTTGAAATCCAACATGAAGAAGGAAATGGCCTTGGCACAATCTTCCTACACGTTGTATAGTTTGGTCCGCACACCCAATGTACGCAGGATATCCTGCTGCATATCTAGTGTCTGGTAGGTGTGCTCTATTCTTTCTTTCTAACTGTGAGGCCCCAGTGCAGCACTAGGGGGTGCTGTGCTACAGGGAGAGGGGTGGGGGGGCTCAGTAGAGGGCACCCTCTCCTCAGAGTCAGTGCAGATCCCAATACCGCACCATGATTTATTGAAGGTAAAAACATGTGGCCAGTCAAGAGCCCCCTGTCCCTTTTCCCATCAGAGTTAGTTACACCAGGGATAAATCTGGCCCCACTTTATATTGACATCCCCCCTCCAATGACCATTCACAGGTTTGCCACCAGCTTTGCCTTCTATGGCTTGGCCATGGACCTGCAGCACTTCGGCTTCAACATTTATCTCATCCAGGTGGCTTTTGGCTCCATTGACATCCCAGCCAAGCTGGGCGCTGCCATCGGGATGAGTTTCATCGGCCGGCGATTCACCCAGGCAGCTTCCGTCATCCTGGCAGGGCTGGCAATCCTGGCGAACATATTTGTGCCACGAGGTGGGCATTCAGGGTGCAACAGCCAGGGGAGGTACGGGGATGAATTAAGATGACCTGGGACTCTAATCATACCATGACATGGGACAGCCTACTCCCAAGATGATCTCCCCTGGGCCACAGCCCTCATAGCCCAAGTCTACCCCTATGGCCATACCCCCAGGGACCTCCCCTGACCCAATACCCCGCCCCAGGGGCCTCTCCTGACTCATGACCCCACCCCCACAATCCACCCCATGACCCTGCATCTTTGGCTGAACCCCACCCCCACAGCCAAAGCCCTCTCCATGGCCTTGTCCATTGCCCCCATAGACAAAACTTACCCGATGGCCTTGCCTCCTCCCAGCTATGCCTCCCCTCCACAACCCACCGCTGCATGACCCGGCCTCGACCCCCACAGCCCAACCCCGACCTACAGCCCCACGTCCACTGGAAATGGCAGAGGGAGCGATCTCCTCGGGAGCAGAACAGGAGTATCATGGGAGGTGTTGTCCAGGGAGGGAGCCAGGCCCACAAAGGAGAATGGGGACAAGAGGCAACTGAACTGCAACTCCCACGTGGCACCACCATAGCATCAAAACTATTTCAACTTTCAGGTGTTCATTTTTTGACACACAAAAAATTGACATGGTCTGCGGGAGGCTGACACACTCTGTGAAAACTTCGCTTAGTTGAAAACCCCAATGTTCCATCAAAAAAACAGTTTTGATGGAAAATTTCTGACCATCTCTAATGTAGACATTCCTTTTATAGATCATAGTGTTACTCTGGCTGTATCTCGGATACATATTGTATATAGGCACTGAGTGACCAGCCTTAGCCAGGACTGTTCCAGCAACTGACCCCACTCGGGACTGCTACCAGCACTGACCACTAACTCTCATCCTTTTATGTCCCCCCACAAGAGCTGAAGGCCTTACGTACATCCCTGGCAGTGCTTGGGAAAGGATGCTTAGCCTCTTCCTTTAACTGTTTGTACCTCTACACCGGGGAGCTGTACCCAACAGTCATCAGGTACCTATTGCAGCACTCATCTATTTCTGCATTAGATGAAAATCTACCCAATGCTTTACTCAAGTCAGGGGGTCAGCGCTCGGAACGACAGTGCTCCTCAGGCGCAGCTGGAACCAGAGTTCCGAATTTCCATTCCAAAGGAAGTTTCAACATTTCAAAATTTCTTGCAAGATGAAAATCCCAAAAAATTTCATTTCAGAAATAGCTGAACAACCTTATTGAAACCCAGGCTATTGGGTTAAACACAGGGGTAACTGGGTGAAATTTAACAGCTCATGTTAAACCAGAGGTCAGACTAGAAGATCTACTGGTCTCTTCAGGCCTTAAATTCTATGAAACATTTCAATAAGGACTTATGAAAACAATAACTGATGTATCATTTCAATTATTATATAACATTATATTATATAAACCATCGAATCACAGAAATGTAGAGCTGAAAGGGACCTCAAGAGATCATCTAGTCTATCCCCCCATGCTGAGGCAGGATTAAGTATAACTACACCACCCCTGACAGGTATTTGTCTAACTGTTCTTAAAAAAGCATTAAGAATGGGGATTCCACAACCTCCCTTGGTAACCTGTTCCTATCCTTAGAGTTTGAAAGTTTTCTCCTAAAACCCAACCTGAATCTCTTATGCTGCAAACTAAACTGATTCCTTCTCGTCCTAACCTTGGTGGACATGGAGAACAATTGATCATCCTCTTTATAACAACTATTTACATATTTGAAGACTTATGTGTTTTCCCCTGTCCCCAGCCTCCAGTCTTCTCTAGGCTAAACACGCCCAGTTCTATCCACCTTTCCTCATAGGTCAGGTTTTTTAAACTGCTGATTGTTTTTGTTGCTCTCCTCTGGATTCCCTCCAAGACACAGGATTCCAGCTGAGGCATCACCAGTGCAGAGTAGGGTGGAACGATTGCCTCCTGTTTCTTACATACAACAGTCCTGTTAATACATCCCAGAATTACATTGGCCTTTTTCACAACATCATGTCGCTGTTGATGCACATTCAACGTGTGATCCACTATAACCCTCAGATCCTTCTCAGCAGTACGACCACCTAGCCAGCTATTCATCATTTTGTATTTGTGCTTTTGATTTTTTTCCCTTCTTACATGCAGTTGTCACAGATTGCCTGGCCCTTTAAGGGTAATTGAGCTCAGCCACACCTGCGCCAGATTAGCTAACCCCCTGCCTTAGCTGGTCCTGGTCAGATGTTGGAAGGACTCCGTGGAAGGCCCTGAGCAAGAGTCTGAAGGAGATTGTGAAAGGCTCCAGGGAAACAGTCAGGGCTGTGTCCCACAGCCAAAGACAGAGACTGAAGGGTAACCCAGAAAGGATTAGGAACTAAGCCTGATGGGTGGGCTGAAGGGGAACTGAAGTGGGGACAAAGAACTTTTGATTGTGTTTGAACTTTTGTTACCCCAAGGGACAATTGAACTCTGAGTGAGCCAGCCAGAGGGCTGAGCCATGTGAACCCCCAGGAGAGACAGGAAAGCCAGAGGAGGAGGAAACTGAGGCAGGGAGTGCTTGCAGCACCACACTCAAGCAGCATGGGGTGCTACAAGGCAGGCATGTCCCATGACACTAGTACTTTGTACTTGTCTTTATTGAATTTCATCTTATTGATTAATATAATAGTCCAAATGATAAATCAGTTATCATTTCAGTAGGTCCCTATTGAACCATTTTGATAAAGTCCGTTCAATATTTCCGAGCCCTGCACTTTCCGTATTCTGATTAAGTAAAGAACGCACCTGGGGGGTACGAGGTTTCTTTCCTTCCATTGGCTGGGGGATGGAAATAGGTGAACCATCGACCTTCGCCATCCCCCACCCCCAATGTAAGTCTTCTCCTGTTCCCATCCTTGGGCTCCCAAGGCTCCACCAGGACAAAAAGAAAAACAACAAAGCCCTTTGACCTCACTGAAATGAAATGTTTAAATCATTTCTCATTGAAAATTTTGACAAAATCATTATGTTCCCATGAAATATTTCAATTTTGTTGAATCAGCATTTTCCTACAGAAGACTGTTCCAGTGGAAAGTTTCCCCTCAGTTCTATTCTTAGGCCTAAAGTAACATTTTCTGAATTACCTAAGTCCCATTTTCAAAACTTTCTCCCTGTTAAAAATGTGCACCTTGTTTCCAGTTTGAATTGGTCTAGCTCCAATTCCTAGCCCTTGCAACTCTCATTTGCCCTTTTTCTGATGCCTCAAAGCAGGGGTGGGCAAACTTTTTGGCCCGAGGGCCACATCGGGGTTGCGGAACAGTATGGAGGGCCGGGTAGGGAAAGCTGTGCCTCCCCAAACAGCCTGGCCCCCTCCCACTTCCCGCCCCCATCAGAACCCCCGACCCATCTAACCCCCTCTGCTCCTTGTCCCCTGACCGACCCCTCTCGGGACCCCTGGCCCCTAATCACCCCCCAAGACCCCACCCCCTATCAAACCCCCCCTGCTCCCTGTCCCCTGACTGCCCCAACCCCTATCCACCCCCGCCCCCTAACAGGCTCCCCGGGACCCCCGACCCATCCAACCCCCCCCCATCCTTGTCCCCTGACCGCCCCCTCCCCAGGACCCCCGTCCCTAACTGCCCCCCCGGACCCCACCCCCTATCCAACCTCCCCTGCTCCCTGTCTCCTGACCGCCTCCACCCCATCCAACTGCCCCCTGTCCCCTGACTGCCCCCCGGAACTCCCTGCCCCTTATCCAACCCCCCCCCCCCCCCCCTCTTACCACGCTGCTCAGAGTGGCAGGACAAGCTTATTGGCAAGCCTGGGAGGTGGGTGAGCGCAAGCCCGTGCAGCGGCGTACCTGCGGGGGAGGGGAAGCAGCGGGGGAGGGGCCGGGGGCTAGCCTCCCCAGCCGGGAGCTCAGGGGCCAGGCAGGATGGTCCCGTGGGCTGGATGTGGCCCGCGGGCCGTAGTTTGCCCACCTCTGCCTCAAAGGATGCATCTCTACTAGGAGATAACTTCTGCCCACCTAGGTATTTACAGACTATAATCCTATAGTACAGCACCAGCCTTCCTGTCACAGTGAGTCCTGACCTCAGTTTGGGGAAGCCTCAAAGATTAGAGTCAACCCAAAACATTTAGTTTTGATCCCTCCCGACCCTGAGAGAAATTTTAAAAAAAATTGGCAAAAATGTGACCTTTTTCCCACAGAAAAATTCGTTTTTGCAGAAACTGCATTTCCTGTTGAGGGGAAGTTCCTAACTGGCTGTAGAAATAAGGAAAGACGGTTCTGATCAAAGGCCATTTCTGAGCAGACCAAGGGGAGAAAAAAGTCCATGGGCAGATTGAATCTGGTCTTTTGCAGAATCAGTCCAATATTATCATGATTTTATGATTTTTTTTTAAAGGTTGTTTTCTACACTTGCAGACAGACCGGCATGGGGCTCGGAAGCACCATGGCTCGCGTGGGCGGCATAGTAGCTCCGGTGGTAAGGGTGACGGGGGAATATTTCCCATACCTCCCACCAATTATATATGGGACAGCTCCTATAATATCAGGCATCGCTGCTATATTCCTGCCAGAGACCCTCAATGTGCCATTGCCCGACACCATAGAAGAAGTGGAGAGAGGGTTAGTCTGCTTTCACTTCATTTTGATTGTGTCTTCTCCTACAGTAGTTCGTCTGAGCCTTCTCTCTCATATAAATGGGAAGAAACTGCCTTGGATTCAATATAACTACACTATAGCAAGAAAAGAACTGACACCTCCCACCGTAGCAGCAGCATGGGCTAGCGCTGGACTGGGAGTCAGGAGACTGGGTTTCACTCCCGTCACTCTGTGCTTCTGTTTCCCCTCCCACTCTTTGTCTATTCTGCCTTTTTAGATCATAAGATCTTTAGGGCAGGGACTGTCTCCTATTGCTTGTCTGTCCAGCACCTGGCCCAATGGAGTCTTGGTCTCAGTTAGGGTGGGTAAATAAGCCAGAGCTCAACTGGAGTCAACACTTCCATATCCCCAGCCGGTGTAAATTGGCTGTAGTGTCACTGAAGTGAACGGGGCCAGATACCCAGGTGGTGTAAATAGGTGTCGCTCAGTTGGACTCAATGGGCCAGATCCCCAGCTGGTGAAAATCGGACATAGCTCCATTGAAGTCAATAGCCCTAGGCCAATCACAACAGCTGAGGATCTGGCTCAATATTTATTTGTCTCTCTCTCTCTCTCTTTTTTTTTTTTTAAAGGACAAGGGCTAGAGACCTAAAGAATGAAGATCAAAAGGAGAAGATTCTTCTGCAGACAATGGGGCCAGCAATGCTGCAGGAAGCCTGATGGTGTGATACAAGAGGGGGCCCCTTGAGTTAGGTAGTCCTCTGCTCAAAGTGTCACCCATGTTTCTGTACACAGCAGTACACTCACAGGGCCTGGGTCCATGCAGTGCTACAGAGCAGAGAGAAATTTCAGGGGAGTCACAACAAATAAATGGCAGATTCCTCAATCTTTGAAGTATCTCTGTCACACACACCCAGCTGCGTACACAGTCGGATACTCGAATTCATATATACACGCACACTGACTCGGGCATGTTCACACTCATGCATACACCCAGTCCCATTCACACCCTCACACACATGCTCACACATACACACTCATTCACTCAGACAGAAGTTCTCACACACTCCCGTTCACACACACTCGCAACAAACACACAGGTCAGCACTGTTAGAAGGCTCCCTCCCTTTCCACCACAGCTGGTTAACACTCGACCTCCTGCCATCGGACAATAAATTGGTTCCCAACCCAAATCTCATAAACAGCTGTATTTTATGGAAAACTCACCCTATAAAATCTAATGGCTGTGGATGGAATGTGTTTCATTCAGCTCCCATTGTAGAGAGGCCCATGGCCGTTTTCCACATACCTGAATACCGGAGCCCTTGGGTCAGAGGAAATGTTTAAAACAACTTCAATTACCATCACGTCTGTTTCCATGGGGCGTAAACAGAACACTCATGCTGCCTAATAAATGCCGACTCCTGTTAAGGAGGTGGTCTGGGATGACCCATTCATCTCCTACCCACTGTATCCCCACCTCTCCAATGGAGGACTCCCATCATGGCTCTGTATCTGCTGCAGGGTTCATTCTTTTAGCCCTAAAATGATCTTCAATACAGATCCCATCCCGGATGGGACAGAAAGTTTGGACCATATCCTTGGCTGGTGTAAATGGGCATAGCTTCACTGACTTCATACCAGCTCCATGACTTCCCTTTATACCAACTGGGCAGCTGGCCCTTTACTCCAAAGAAGCTTTGCCCAATTTACACCAGCTGGGAATCTGGCCCTACTGTTGCCAATGGAGTGACACTGATTTACACCAACTGAGGATATGCTCCACTGATTCCAGTGGAGCTATGGCTGATTTACATCAGCTGGGGATGTGGCCCCATTGACTCCAATGGAGCTACAGGTCTAGTCCTGACTCAGTGAGGTTGAATGATTAGCAGAGTGTGGGAGTGGAAGTCAGGACTTCTAGGACATATTCCCAGCTCCTGAGAAGCAAATAGATTAGAGCACAGTTGAGAATGGGAATCAAGACTCCTGGGTACTATTTCTGGTTATGGGAAGGGAGTGGGATCTAATGGATTAGACAGGGGAGTTCTAGGAGTCAGGATTCCTGGATTCTATTGTCAACTCTGGGATACGGGGGTCTAGTGGTTAGAGCAGATGGGGCAAGGAATCAGGACTTCTAGGTCTATTCCTGACTCTAGCTCTGGCCTCTGTGTAGTCTAAGGTTTCAGAGTAGCAGCCGTGTTAGTCTGTATCCGCAAAAAGAAAAGGAGTACTTGTGGCACCTTAGAGACTAACAAATTTATTTGAGCATAAGCTTTCGTGAGCTACAGCTCATTTTGAGCTGTAGCTCACGAAAGCTTATGCTCAAATAAATTTGAGCTGTAGCTCACGAAAGCTTAAATTAATAAATAATTTAATAAATTTGTTAGTCTCTAAGGTGCCACAAGTACTCCTTTTCTTTTGGTGTAGTCTAAGTGGGTAGAACAAAGGCCATTTGCTCCACTCCTTGGGACAGTATCAGTGTATGATATTGAGCCTGGCCTGGCAAAATAACTCTGTTGTTCTGCATTGTATCAAACCTGGATCCATAGCTCTTGGTTTAATGGGAAAAAAGAGAGAGGATGCATTTGGGGCCCAAGTTCAATAAATTATAAAGCACTCAGGGGACAGTTCATCCACTCTGCTCTCTGGGCGGGATGACCATGTCTTATCCTATATCATTCTGTATATAGATGGTTCCCTATGCTGTGGAATGAAATGAGCTGAGATCATTCCATTTTAAGCACCAGGCAGTTCTATATTAAAACAACACTGAGAGGAAGGAGGATTCCTAACCTGGCCAAACTCACCTATCCCCTGTTATTTCATGAAGCATTTTCATTGGAATATTATTTCAAATTTCAGTGCTTCAAATAAACATTCCAAAGGCCTTTCTGTTTGGATTGCAGAGTTATTCAGGGAGGGACTGTCACCTAATGGTTAGAGTAGGCAGAGCTGGGAGTCAGGATTTCTGGGGTCTTCTTCCAACTTTGGAAAGGGAGTAGGATCTAGTAGTTGGACTGGGGGGCTGAAAGTCTGGATTTTGGGGTTCTACCCCAAGCTCTAGGAGGGAGAGTGTGGTCTTAGTGTTTATGGCAGGAAAGCCTGGGCCGGGGAATCAAGACGCCTGGGTTCTGTTCCCTGCTCTGGGAGGGAATGTGGTCTAAATAATCAAGCAGGGGACTGCAACTAGGAATCAGACTCCTGTGTTCTACTGCCAGAGGCCAATGTGGTCTAGTAACGCCCTGGGAGCTCTGGAGTTCTGTTCCCAGTTTGGTTAGTGTTTCACTTGCCTTCTCTGGGCCTAAAATTCTCCCCCTATAAAATAGAGCTTTGAAAGCCTTACAAAAAAGGGATTATTATAAAAGTGCTACAAATTATTACACTAATGCTATTTTTTACCTCTAGAACAGACCCCTTGTAAGTATATGAACCAGGTATTTGAAAAAAATAAACACATAATTTACCTGGGCCACAACTAGAGTGCTCTGAGATCTGGTCTATAGGTTATTTGTGTTACAGTAGCGCCTAGATCAGAGCCTCATGATGTGTGCATTATTAACCCTACAGTAGTGCCCAGAAGCCCTAACTGAGATCCGGGGGCTATTATGGTGAATGTGCATTATTATTAGCATTACGGTAGCATCTATAGGCCTCAGTCAAGATTGGGGTCTGATTATGGTGTGTGCATTATTAGTAGTATTACTGTAGTGCTTAGAGAGCCCAGCCCAGATGAGGCCCTCATTATGGTGTGTGCATTATTATTAGCATTAGGGTAGTATGCAAAAGCCCTAACTGAGATCATGGCCCATTATAGTGTGTGCATTATTAGTAGTACTACGGTAGGATGTAGAGGGCTGTGCACTAGAGCAGGGCCGCATTATGGTGTGTGAATTAGTAGTGGTACTACAGTAGTATTGAGAGGCCCCACACGAGACCATTGTACTGGGTGCTGTGCAGCCATTTCCTGCCCCAATCAGTTTACAGTCTGAATAGAGAAGACAAAAGGGGAACCAGAGGCAAATGACTTACACAAGGCCGCACAGCAGATCAGTGTCAGTCAGCAGATGCAGGAACAGAACCCAGGTCCTCCTGACTTGTGCTCTACCCTCCAGCCTACACTGCTGCACAAACAGATAACTGTTCATCACATGGTCCCTTCAACCACAATCACTTGCAAAGATACTAGTGAGGCTAATGCAGTCTATGCTGTATGACTAATCACACTCATACTGGCAACTACATACATAAACCAACTGTCAACTCTAAACAGCCAAGCACATTCTAAGACAGCCGGCAACTCTGAGCATCATATCCAGCAGAGGGAGTGGTGGAGATGCCTTTATTAAGAGTTCGTGAATTTAACCCTCGCAAACTACGCCATAATCACCAAGCACTGGGAGAGATTTGCCAGTTCAAAGCAAGTGCTCAGGACAAGAGCCCAGAAACACAGAGGTAGATCTAAGTTCCCAGTTCTGGTGCTTCTCAGAAGAGTTGAATCGAGTTAGGACGCAACCCACGTAAGTGAGCCTCTATTGCATTTAAATCATTGGGAAGATGCTACATTTTCATTCCTCTTTTGACTTACTGAGTGCAGGAGGAAAGGGCTGTAAAAGGCAATCTTGCAAATGAAGCCACTCAGAGAGATGGAGGACCAGGGCGTGCTGATGCTTGAGTGCGGGAGAAAAATTAGCTCATGTGGGAGGTCTTGGAGGCAGAAAAGATGGGGCAATTTTATTTTTGTGGATAACTTTCCAGGACAAGCAATATCTGGAGAAAAGCAGCCTGCCATGGGATGGTTCAGCAGCTGATTCTTGCCCTGTCAGTGCTGTGGTTACGTTCTGACTTTAGGGTCAGATCCTCTGATGGTGGAAATCAGCATCGCTCCATTAATTTTGATGGAGTTAAGCCTATTTGTACCAGAGCTGAGGACCTAGCCCTTGCTTTCTTCAGTGAAAGATGCAGGGAATAAGAACGCAATTCATCAGGCAGCGGTTTGATCGCAAGGCAAAAATGTGCTTAAGACTGGATGAGAAATTTATGCGACATCTCGCATTTAAAGTCTAAGCCTCTTTCTAACACATAGCAGTAAATGAGCAGGAAACGGCATGTGTGAGACAAAATGCATGTTACTAGCACCTGGATCTGTATATGATAACATCATTAATTATTATTGCTGTGCAGAGAAGTGTCATCTGAATAGACAGATAGGTGTTGGAGCTCCTGGTTCTGGGAGTTGAGTCAGATCTAATGGTTAGAGGAGGGGGCTGGGAGTCAGGACTCCTGGATTCAATTCCCAACTCTGGGTGGGTAGTGGTCAGAGCTGGGGGAGGGGCGAGCTAGGAGTCAGGCCTCCTTAATTCTGTCCTAGGTTTGGAAGGGAGCATGGTCCAGGTGATCAGAGTGAGGTATCAGGACTTCTGGTTTCAACTCTGGATGGTGTGAGGAAATATATTCTAGTAGTCACAGCAACAGACTGGGAATCAGCACTTCTGGGTTCCTTTCCCAGTTCTGAGAGGGGAGGGGAGTCTAGATTAGAGCCGGGGCTCGGGACTTCTGGGTTCTCCTCCCAGTTACATAGGCATTACATTCATGTACTGTGACAAGGCATTATAAAGCTTGTTAAAAGTTTTACAGTTGAAGAAATAAACCAAAATCTTTAGTCTATTTTAAAGCTCTTCACCTAGGAGTAGATCTAGGTGAATTCATTGCAAGTGGCTTACATCTTTCTTCCAATGTTTGCAGATGACAAATACATAGAACCCAGTGCCCAAGTAGAGTTTAAAGAGCAAACTTTACAGCTAATTGCAAGAGTCTGTTTTCCCCATTTCTCTCAGGCAGTAACATTAACCACCTGTCATCAGTTACACCCACACTCATTTTTCTCTTTCCCTCTGCTTGTTTTTTAAATATATGAGTGAGTGTAACTTGTGTTTCATAAAATGTTGTTATTTATAATTACTGTAATTTATAGAGTCCTCAGCTGAGATTCCCCACTCTGCCAAATCCTACATGGACTCCAACCAAGATCGGACTCCAGTTGTGCCAGGCGCTGCACAGACCCTGACTGAAATCAGGGTCCCCAATTGTGCTAGGCACTACACAGACCCCAACCGATATCAGGGGCCCCCTGTGCCAGACACAGGGGATAACATACAGTAAGAGTCCATCTCTGCCCTAAAGATCTTACCATCTCATAAAGAAAGATAGTCAAAGGGTGGAAGGGGAAACGGAGGCAGAGAGAGCAGAAGGGGCTTGCCTAAAGTCACGCAGCAGCTTAGCAACAGAGCTAGGATTAAAACCCAGCTCCTCTGATACCCAGTCCAGTGCCCTATCCACTAGACTACACTGCCTCCATTTCTTGACTGGTCTGGCAAAATTTTGCTCAACACCTAGAATAACGTTACTGAAGCCCTGGGAGTTAGTTGGGGTAAGGAAGAGCAAAATTTGGCTCTGGCTCTTTCACATTCTATCAGAAACAACTTCTGAAAAATAGAGCCTATGGCTAGTTACTTAGCACAAGAAAAAAGCAATAGCAAACCAGCCACAAAGGCAGAGAGAGGTAAAATAATTGTAGCATATAATGAACCTAAATCATATGGAAGAAAAAACAAAAGATGATTCTAATAGATCTTACAAGAGCTAATAAATTAACCCCAATGAGACAGGGAGGGGGAGAACGAAGTACGTTAATGCTTTTTAAATGCTAAACATATTTAAAGGCTTTATTCTAAAGTTCAGTTAGGTCAAATCTACAATGCTCGACAGTGAACATCCGTTATTATTGACATCCTTCCTTTGTCTGTCTTATCTCTTCAGAGTTCACTCTTCAAGTATGACACCATCTCAACACAATGGGCCTCCCCCCCTCCACCTGCTCTCAGTTGGGTGGGGTGGGTCTTTAATATACAGATTAATACATTATATTTAAAAAAACAATACTGTCTACTCAAAAACCTACTCCTAATACTTTGTCAGGTTTCCCTCCCCACTCTGAACTCTGGGGTACAGATGTTGGGACTCGCATGAAAGACCCCCTGAGCTTATTTCTACCAGTTTAGGTTAAAAACTTCCCCAAGGCACAAATTCTTCCTTGTCCTTGGACAATATTGCTGCCACCACCAAGTGAGTTAGACAAAGATTCAGGAAAAGGACCACTTGCAGTTCCTGTTTCCCCAAAATGTCCCCCCAAGCCCCTTCACCCCCTTTCCTGGGTAGGTTTGAGAATAATATCCTCACCAATTGGTACAGGTGAGCACAAACCAAATCCCTGGGTTTTTAGGACACTAAACCCAATCAGATTCTTAAAAAAACCAGAACTTTATTATAAAGAAAAAAAGTAAAAGAAGCACCTCTGTAAAATCAGGATGGAAGGTAATTTTACAGGGTAATCAGATTCAAAACACAGAGGATTCCCCTCTAGGCAAAACTTTAAAGTGACAAAAAACAGGGATAAACCTCCCTCTAAGCACAGGGAAAATTCACAAGCGAAAACAAAAGATACTCTAATGCATTTCCTTGCGGTTACTTACTATGCCTGTAATTTAGATGTATCATTCAGTAGGAGCTGGATTACTTGCTTGGTCTCTCTCTTTGTCTCCTGAGAGAACACACACAGAGCACAAAAACAAAGCCTCCTCCCCACCCCCCGATTTGATAGTATCTTCTTTCCCCATTGATCCTTCTGGTCAGGTGCCAACTAGGTTAATTGAACTGATTAACCCCTTACAGGTAAAAGGATTCTGTACCTCTGGCCAAGAGGGATTTTATATTACTGCATACATAAAGGTTGTTATCTTTCCGTTTATATTTATGACGCCCCCCAAATCATAGACAGTGCTGGACAGCCTGCTCCACACTGGCTGTGATTTCTTCCTGGAGCTCTAGAAGAAAACAGAATTATTAAGACACATGCACCTCTAAATATACTACTGATTATATAAAAACTAACAATAATTTCCATTTTTCAAGGATGAATTTTAACCAGTTGATTCTGGGAAACTTTCACGGGAGAGTGCATCAGCCACTTTGTTAGAAGCTCCTGAAATGTGTAGTATTTCAAAATCAAAATCTTGGCGAGCTAAACTCCACCGAAGAATTTTTTTGTTATTTCCCTTGGCGGTATGAAGCCACTTGATTGGTTTGCAGGTTGGTTTGCAGGTGGAAACGCCGTCCCCAAACGTATGGGCGAAGCTTTTCCAGAGCATACACAATGGCATAACATTCCTTTTTGCTGATTGACCAGTGGCTTTCCCCCTCAGGCAGTTTTTTGCTGAGAAACATGACAAGATGGAATTCTTGATCCAGTCCTTCCTGCATTAAAACTGCTCCCACACCACGCTTGGAAGCATCTGTGGTTACTCGGAAAGGTCTGTCAAAATCTGGGGCACTTAGCACAGGGTCAGACATGAGTGTCGCTTTAAGCTGGTTAAAGGCCTTCTGACACTCTTCAGTCCTCTGAACTGCATTTGTCTGTTTCTTTTTGGTTAGGTCTGTCAGTGGGGTGGCGATTTGGCTGTAGTGCTGTACAAATCGCCTGTAATATCCAGCCAAGCCTAAGAAGGATTGGACCTGTTTCTTTGACTTTGGGACAGGCCACTTTTGGATAGCATTCACTTTGGCCTGTGGGGGCGTTGATAGTTCCTTGACCCACCTGGTGTCCAAGGTAAGTCACTCTGTTTAGGCCTATTTGACACTTCTTAGCCTTAACAGTTAGTCCTGCCTCCCTTATGTGCTCAAAGACTTTTTGCAGATACTCCAGGTGTTCTACCCATGAATCAGAAAAGATGGCCACATCATTCAGGTAGGTGACTGCAAAGTCTCCCAGTCCAGCTAGGACACTATCTACAAGTTTCTGGAAGGTGGCGGGTGCATTTTGCAGCCCAAAAGGGAGCACATTAAATTCATACAGCCCTACATGGGTGATGAAGGCTGACCTTTCCTTGATGGATTCATCCAGCGGTACTTGCCAGTATCCGTTGGTTAAGTCTAAGGTAGAGATGAACTGGGCATGTCCCAGTTTCTCCAATAGCTCATCTGTTCGTGGCACTGGATAGTTGTCGGGGCGAGTTACAGTATTTAGCTTACGGTAGTCCACGCAAAAGCATATCTCCCCATCTGGTTTGGGGACTAGAACCCCTGGAGATGCCCAGGCACTGTTAGAGGGGTGGATTACACCCATCTGTAGCATATCCTGGATCTCCCGTTCTATAGCAGTTTTAGCTTGAGGAGACACCTGGTAAGGTTGGGCTCTAATTGGGTGAGCATTACCTGTGTCAATGGAGTTGTAAGCCCGTTTGGTCCGTCCTGGGGTGGCTGATAACATCGGCGCGAAGCTGGCACACAGCTCCTTGATCTGGTGTCGCTGCATACGCGCAAGGGTCATGGAGAGGTTCACCTCTTCCATGCCACCATCACTTTTCCCTTCGTAGTAGACACCTTCAGGCCACTCAGCATCATCTCCTCCCTGGGCTGTAAACTGACAAATCTTTAATTCTCTGGGATAAAAGGGCTTTAGAGA